GCAGCTGGTTGGCTGCTGGGCTGGTTTCCATGGCAACTCATAAAAAAAAGAAAAGCTGACTCCATCCCACAGTCCCGTATCGGTGCTCTGTACAAAACAGTAAGGTTTTACAATTACAAGCTCTCGGCGTCTGCCTTCAACCCTCCTTCTAACTCATGTGGCAGGTGTTAAAATGTGGATTTTATTAACAGACATTACAGAGCCAATCAGTGGTGATCGTACATCAGAATGAAAGAAGATGAAGTCCTCATCCAAATTAATATTCTCCACAGAAACTGATTGGGGAAGAAAGCTTTCCTGGATTAGCCGCTGCTCACATTCAGTGATAAATTTAGTGCAATGCATGGGGAAGCCCAAAGAATTCTTGTGGTTCTGCTAGCAAAAATAGTTCAGTATTCTGAAAAGGCAACACCTACAGAGGGGACTCTCCGAGGAAATGAAATCGAGCCACTATCAAACCCACAGCCAAAGTAATATCAGCTCAGCTGACAGAGCCACAGTTTGATATTCTGTGCTGCAATCACTGATTAACTGCATTTGAGACATGCAACTTTAAAAATCCTAAGTTAAAAAAATACAGGACTGAATTGAAGCTCTAACTGAGAGCCAAAATTATGACAATGATCAATTACGAAAAACTGTATAAAGTGATGAAAAAGGACAACAGTGAATGTCCTCTGTGAGAAAACACGGGATCAACACTTAAAACATTAGGGTTCAAATACATATTCTGAGATTTTCTTTGGATATTTTCTATATTAAATCTATTTTGGAAGATGGAAACTGGTGTTTTGCGTGACTAACTGGCAGCACACTGAATGAAAAACTTCTTTGGAAGAACTAAATAAATACAGGTTTGAAGGTAGAACAGTCAAATGAATGAGCCCAGTGTTGTTTAACCTGGAGCAAGTGCTGCACTACATGCAGCAGGTTGTGTCAGAAAATCTAATTACAATAAATTCAAAGGGGGGGCTGCTCTTTTCAAACAGGATAAAAATGTTTTGGTCAATTAAAAAAAGAGAAAATATCACTATTAACAGATTATCTTCCTTGATAAAAATGATCAATGGGGATGAGGCAAATCAACTGGATTCATGGGAAATGTAGTGTTCATTTTAAACTATGGCAGCACCGTCACGAAGAGACTCAAGAATTTGTAGGGGAATTCAGAACATTTTTCCTGAGCAATATACACTGTGAAGGAAATGTCATGCTCTTCAACATATTCAAGGCTTCATATACAGTAGTACAGTAGATATCTGCAGTTCATTCAGCACCAGCATGTTCAGATGCAGATCTACATATGGTTAAAACCGTCTACTAAAGAAAAAGCAGCATTTATGACTGTTTATGTGTCAGAGGTTCCTCTCAGGTCAAAGTGGAGGTTTTGAAATTCAAAGCGCTTTCAAAACATCCAGTAGCTGACGGGCTGAGAGCCAGGAATAATATCTGACTGTTTAAAGACCCACTGTTCTACTCTGCAAAGGGACATACAGCTCCATGAAGTACTACAGTACAGTAGGTCCACTGGCACAGTACAGTGGAGGACAGGAGAGAGGACAGCAATACAGGGAAGCATGGTAAAGTACGAGGTATTAGAGGACAATATAGGACAGTGGGATACTGAGGATCAGTGGTTGAAGAAGTACTCAGATACCCTTACTTGAGTAGTAGCTATACCAAAAATGTAAAAATACTGTTACGAGTACATATAGTGTATTCAAAATGTTACTTAAGAAAAAGAACAATAGCATCAAAACATACCTAAAGTACTCATTATGTAGAATGGCACATTTCACATTAATGTACGTATATCATATCATTGGATTAGTTGTGTACATCACGTTTATGGTGCAGCTAGAAAAGAAGGAGCTAATTCTAACTACTTTATATACTGTACTGTACTGAAGTACCGCTGGGAAGCTTCTGAATTTTCCACCACAGATTAATAAAGTCTTATAATACTGTATTTTATTAATGTGATTTTGAAAATTAACTAGTAACTAAAGTTAGCAAATAAAAGTAGTGGAGTATGAAGTACAATATTTGCCTCTAAAATGTAGTATGAAGTAGCAAAAGATGAAAATACTCAAGTAAAAATACCTCAAAACTGTACCTCAGTACACTACTTGAGTATATGCACTCAGTTACTTTCCACCACCGCTGAGGATACTACAGGACAGTACACCACAGTAAAGGGTAAAGTAAAGTAAAATGCTACAAAACAGTGAAGTAGAGTACAGGATGATTTACTAATGCAGAAGACAGTGAAGAACAGTGCAATTTACTGAAATGTAATAAAGGTCATTATGGGGCAGGAGTTCAGAAGACAGTATAAGATGGTAAAGGGCAGTACTATAAAATACACTACAATATAATTAAGTGGAAGACAGGAAAGAGTTCAGCAATATCAGCATGTCTACAATAAATACTACGCCACGCACACTAACAGCTGGGGTTTCCCTTGCTGCTTAATCTATGCTGAGTGAATCATAATTCATCTATGTGGGAGCTGTAATTCCTAGCGTCTCTTCTGCATGTACGTGGACAGGACTGTAGCAACAATTAGACTCACTGAGCAGCACTTCAAGGTGCTAAACGCTCCGCAGTTATGGGAAGGAAGTGTGACCTCATTAACACAGCGAACACACACAGGCCTGCTTGTCCTGCTTAGAATTTAATAAATAAAGTCTCTCGCTCATAAAGGATGTGGCGTCCAAGGCTGGCACGTGCTGCTGTATAACCAGCACTATAACGTATCTGAGCTCCTGGTCTGTGATTGGCTCTTTCTGTCACTGAAGAGGAGCTCAGATGGATGGATGAAGTCTGAGAAAACTAGACCTGCTCCTTCAATCATGTTCAAGACTCAGATGGATGGATGAAGTCTGAGAAAACTAGACCTGCTCATGTTCAAGATGATCGTGAAGAGGCATTTTATAAACACATTAAATATACTTTTATTTCTAACATTTCAGTCTGGATGCATTTAACACTGACCAGGTCCAGCTATTAACTTTTCCCCAGGTAGCAGCGGCCATCACCGCCTCCCTCATTACCCTGACATACAGGATGAATTGTGGGATATACATAGTTTCCATCTAAAAGTATTTGCCTGCACTGTGCAGAGGCTATTGTATGAACACTGGCGCCTCCTGGTGGAGAACGTACGGAAACACTATGCCTATTACAGTGGTTTCAGAGAGCATTCAGAACCTTTGTTGCACTTCATACATCTTATCTATCCTGCTTATCCCAGCAAGGGGGGGGGCTATAGCCAGTCCCAGCTGTCTACAAGCTGTGCGCATCAGGGTTCTCACTTCATACATCTCTGCAGCTCTGTCAGACTGGAAGTGAAGTCCACCTTCAGGTCTCCCAGCAGACATTCTGTGGGGTCAGAGGCTGGTCCTGAACCCGCCCCAGCGTTGTCTGAGTTGTATGGATATACATCTCTGCAGAGGAGCTAATATGCACAGGTGTGTGCCTTTCTAAAGTCCACTTTGCTACAAGTGGACTTTAGAAACATGAGTAAAACTTGGAGTGCCACAGCAAACAGTCAGAATACTTATGCATACAAGAGATTTCAGGATTTGATTTTGAGTGAATTTAAACAAACAAACAAAAAAACAACAAGATTTTTATTTTGTCATTGTGGGTTATTGTGGATTGATCTGCCTAAATAATGTTTATCAATTTAAAAATAAATCTACAACAAAGGCTGCAGAAAGTGGAGTGAATACTTCCTCATGTCACTGGATGCATTTGTCATCTCTCTTTCCACTGCGTCAAACTCTCCATAGTTAAATGTGATGTAATAATTTTAAAATATTCATTTCTTAAAACAGGGGTTGGACATATACAACACTGTGCAATGCAATAAAAAAAACTTGTTGCACTTCTTTTTTTTGAAGCTGCTGCACTTTTAATGCAACTAGTCGGTTCATGCTTTTTTAAAATCAACTGACACTTCCCCTGGAAACTGGTCTCAGAACTAAGATCATATGTCATGTATGATTCAACAGGGAGCATTGCCTTGGCCAACTTTCCACTGAGCACCTGATCGTCTAAAAATGTGAAGGTCAGATACCAAAACTGTCACATGACTAAGCATCCAAAAACAGTACAGATAACCACTTCTGAGTGTAGTTGTTAGTTCCTTTATTTGTTTCACCCTTAATCAGAATTAGCAAACGTCACCATCATGTGATTAATAATAAACTGATACTCTTAACTGGTAATTACAATTAATCCCAAACCAGAGATGTCCAATTTTATTTACAAACAAAGAAGAACCAACCAACTTCAGACTCCACCACTTGTCTCAGGTCGCTCTCTACCGCCCTCAACTTACTGGGAAAAGAAAAAGCAGTCAAAACCAGCTTTAACTGTAACGTTGTACTAGTGCTGCCTTCAGAGTATACTGAATTGAGCATCGTATCAAAAACACTTATGTTCCGACTTTTCCCATCACGGCTCCCTGAATGTGCCCTACAAGTCTTTGGTTGTATGGATATTGCTATGCTGCATTCAAGACCCCTTTAAACTGTGTGGCACTGCACAAAATGCCATCAGTAAACAGCAATTTGGGTGCAATTGATCCATTTGAGAAATCCAACGGCACGCAGCTGCAGCAAAAGCAGACGAAAGGCCTTGAAAATGTGGAGTGACCAGGATGGACAGGATTAGGAATGAGCACATCAGAGGGACAGCTCAGGTCGGCTGTTTTGGGGACAAGGTCAGAGAGGCCAGATTGAGATGGTTTGGACATGTGCAGAGGAGGGATAGTGGTTATATTGGTAGAAGGATGTTGGAGATGGAGCTGCCAGGCAAGAGGTCAAGAGGAAGGCCAAAGAGGAGATATATGGATGTGCTAAAAGAGGACATAAAGTTAATTGGGGTGAGAGTAGAGGATGCTGAGGATAGAGTTAGGCGGAAACAGATGATTCGCTGTGGCGACCCCTAACGGGAACAGCAGAAAGAAGAAGAAGAAGAAGACTGAGTTAAAACCACTTCGCGTGCTCTCCTTCTGAAGTACTAAATTTCCCACAGTCGTTGAACGCCTCGTGGTCTCACGGTTAAATGCGCCGGCTCCACTCCCTCCGGTCCGACGAAGAGCTCGGATGGAGAGCAGCGTGAACTCCAGTGGACATCGCTGCCTGTCACAGGTTAGTGCAGTTTGCATCGGGTCCGCTGACTTTTAGTTCAGAGCACTTTTTTTTTTTACTTCATTCACGATCTGTAGTTTATTGTTGTATAACAAACAGAGCGCAACTTATGCGTGGTACCGTTCACACCTGATGATAGAGACGTGTTGACATAAACTGAGCAATGTGTTCTTAACATTTAGGGACGTGCTTTGTTTCCCGTTAGGAACTTTTAGAAACAAGAGACAGGTTTATTATCTGTGAGAACATCTGTGCACGGATACAGTGCTCTGTCAGTGAAGCGGTGAGAGTTGATACATTCATCACACCACATCCTTAAATAAACATAAACTTGCATGCAAAGATTTCGCATTCAGAATCTTAAAGTAAGGAAGTATTACCAACTAAATGTACTAAAAGTATCCAGTACACCTCAGTATACTGTATGTTCTCATGTGTAAAATCTATAGCTGCCAAACAATTGTAGTGGAGTTTCACTTTTAAATAGATAGAAGTATATGGTGGCATACAGGGGAAGTTCCTGTAGCATGCACCAAGTGTGTACGAATATTACTTCCAGCCTTTTGCTGAGTGTGTACGAATATTACTTCCAGCCTTACAAATAGTGTGTTAGCAGCATTTTCACGCTGTAGCTGCCTGAAAGAGTTAATTGATTTTAATGCATCATATTTTATAAAATGATCTGATATTTTATGTGTAAGCTGTTAATTTGCTAAAGAACTAGTATTTATACCTGTTGGATCAGTGTAGTACGACATTTCCCTCTGAAACATCGTGAATTAGAAGGATAATGTAAAATACACATACTCCAGAACAGTACTGGATTAAATATACTTAGTTATGTACATTCACACAGTGAAAACCAAACAGCGCAGCAGCCTGCTGAAGTCATTGTTGTGACGTTTCCTTACTTTTGAAAGCAGTGTTAATCCATTGTTTTACTAAAAGATGCATCTCTGGTGTAAGCTGCCGAGGGCCACGTGCTTGTTTGTACTGCTCTGTTTTTGGATGACGGACCACGTGTGTCATAGCTACAGTCGAAAGCTTCTGTCCCACACATGACCCTCCGGTCAAAGATCTGCCCCCTTTCTCTGCTGGCTACTTCAAAAAGCTTTTTCTGCACACACACACACACAGAGACATTACTTTGATGGTACAGAGGGTCAGGAAGCCTTGATGGTACAGAGGGTCAGGAAGCCTGTCTGACTTTTCCCTCATTCATAAAAGGTTTCTGAAAGGTCTCTGATGCTGACACACTGGTACTTGACCTTCCCTATGCTCCATGCATGTCTGAGGATGGGTAGAGGTGGCATTTAACAACCAATAGGTAGTCAGAGTAAAGTGAATCCCCTGCCTCAGATGGCTCCCTGTTTTCAGATGTGTGTAGAGACAACATAATAAAACAGTCTGTTTACTCTCTGTTGAGTGTGCTGAAAAAGATAAACATCAGCC